CCAGCTAAATTGCTCAAACGTAAATTCAACTATCAGGTCTAAAATTAACACATAGAAAAGTTATTGGCTGCCAACATAAAGTCTTAGTCCCTAGAGATGTCTTCTATGTCTTATCTTATTTGTAGTAGCATTTCACCTACAGCACATGGGATGACAAATACAGACCACCACACCAATAAATTGTAATTATAAATGGCAATTACATGTGTATGTATTTATGTGTATTTTTTACAGGTGGTACAAGTTTTTATTCCAAACAAAAAATAAAGTTAGGTCTAAATTGGAGATGTCAACATTATGGAAAACTATAATACAATTGTTATGTGGACAATAGTTTAATTCTTTAATATGTAACTTAAAATGTTCAGGGAATAGCATTTTGTCCTAAAATAGTTTCTACAACAGAATTTCATCTGATGACAAAAAGCATACAAAAGATACACTGTTAATCATTCTATATTAATTTAATCAAAAAAAGGAAGCAGGACCAGAAGTCTTTGAAATGGGGGTAAACATACTTGAAAAAAATAGGGAGCGGGGAAGGTAGAGTCCAGAAATTATAGATTGATGAAATATTGTTTACCAAGATTATAAAATGAATTATTAAGTACAAGGTTTTAAACAACTGGCAAGTAATGCAGTGATCTATAAACATTAGCATAAGATGGCAAAATAGTAACTGTCTAACTTCATTTTCTTTTCTTTTTAAAAAATATATTTTATTGATTTTTACAGAGATGAAGGGAGAGGAGTAGTTAGAAACATCGATCAGCTGCCTCCTGCACACCCCCTACTGGGGATGTGCCCGCAACCAAGATACATGCCCTTGACCGGAATCGAACCTGGGACTCTTGAGTCCGCAGGCTGACACTCTATCCACTGAGCCAAATCAGTTAGGGACATTTTCTTTTTTTAACAGGATCTCTAGCCAAGGAGCTCAGGTATATGCCCAGAAATAGAATATTTTTAGATTACTTTTAGATTACAACAGGGAAACTTTTAATACTTCATAAGAAATATAGGTTGATGATAAAATAGTAGGTGGATTCGTAAATGAATTTTATCCAAAAGATTGATTAATGGATTAATATCAACCTAATGATAGTATGATGTTAAAGCATTACTTCACCCTTATATATTTTACCAGTCACTAAACAAAAACTTAGGTGTTAGGACATTTATAATACTGTCAACAATAAAAAATAAATTAAGAAAACACACACCATAGAAGTCATGTTTATCACATTTATCTATTGATACAAAAATATGAGGAATGCCCAAGAGGCTAAATAACATTATCAAGCTAAAACAATAAACCAAAACCAAGGAGATGACAGTTACTGGGATCAATGTAAAGTCCTCAATTACATTTAAAAAATCAATTACAAAAAAAAGAATCAATCATACAGGCAGGTGGTGTGGCTCAGTAGTTGAACATCGACCTATGAACCAGGAGGTCACTGTTTGATTCCAGGTCAGAGCATATGCCCAGGTTGCTGGCTCAATCCCCAGTAGGGGGCACGCAGAAGACAGTCAATGAATGGTTCTCTCTCATCATTGATATTTCTATCTCTTTCTCCCTCTCCCTTCCTCTCTGAAATAAAAAAATATATACATTTATTTAAAAAATCAATTATACAAATTAATGTGATCTTAGGCTTTAGAGGTATAGAGTACAATTTTAAAAAGAGGCCACTCTCCCCTGTACTTTTATTGATCAGATATCTGATATGTTATATTCAGACCTAGACAAGAGCCCTAAAAAATTAGGCAACTAAGTTGATGAGGAACCTGAACTTTATTAAAAATGTCATTTAAGGAATAGAAGCCTTAGCAAGACATAACTGTCATCAAATATTTGAAGGACGACCATGCTGACAAGGAATTAGGTTTATTTATTGTAGCTTGAGATGGCAGAATTAAAGAGCTTCAGCACAATGTACAGAATGTTCTAAAAGCAGAGTTCCAAAATGGAACAGGGAATCTGTGAAGTGAGTGAGGATCTTTGTCTTATAGCATTGGAAGGTAAAAAGACTATGCTTCAGGGATTCCAAATACGATGCCTTTTCACATTTCATGAATATACTTGATTCCAAAATAAGCCTGTTAAGAGGAAGGAAGGCAACGAAGAAACTTAAAACTGCTTCCTTTCACATGTTTCTAAAGAAATGGAAAACTTTTCATGAACTCTAAAATCAGTACCATTTTCAGAGAAACCAACAAAAGAAATTAATGCTTCTTCTTTTTAAATGAAACTGCTTTTTTTTTTTTTCTTAAAGAAACATCTGCACCTTAACTTTAGTTTATCAAGGAATAAGGGACAGTTATACTCCAGACTGCCGACTAGTCCCACAAAGAGAGTTGTCTTAATTAGATATTTATATGGCAATGCTATTTGCTCCACCCAAAACTTCCTCCCAAGGAGTAGGCTCCTCCTTATCAGACGTGGATAGGAGGCTGCTGTAACTCCCTCCTTTTGACTCCCTCCTGCTGCAGCCTAGGAAAAACTCAGTCTTGACATGTACAAAACAGTAACTTGTGAGAACTTCAGAGCAGCTGTGTTCAGACAGAGCCAGGGACTTTACTTGAGGCAAAGTAGTAGCTTAAGAATTTGTTTAAAAAAAAGAAAAAGAAGAAAAAGGATTTCAATTTTGGGTTGAAAGCAGGGAGAGGAAAAAAGAAAGGAGATACAGTAATGATATCCATTAATATTTAAAATCCATAATAAACAAAGAATGCTTACTAACTACAACACGGAAACTATCATGGGATGGTACCTTTGATTCACAAAGTGAAAGATGAGCGCTCTCTAACTTTCTGCTAACGCTAATGGGAAATGGGAAAAACAAATCTTGCATTTAACAGTGCCCAAGTCAAAGCCAGCCCAAATTCTAGGACAGAAGACTAAAACAAGGGGCTTTGCTGTTTTGTTGGCTTATTTCTGTGTGCTATCGTCAGGCAAACTGTGAAAATGTCGGAAAGTCCAATAGTAATGTTCTGAATGTGAACTACCGAACTAAATGCAGTTAAGGAACGCTAAAGATCAGCAATCAATTGGTCTCGGTGTGCTGTATGGGCAACTTCCGGGCCAAGAGAAAAAGCTTCAAATGGTAGCTGAGAACCAAAGGTTAATACAAAACAACATATTCTGGTTTCTCTTCACATACAGCTTTAACAGTATTTCAGCTATTGGTAATTTTTTTCTCAAAAGTAAAAGGAGGAAGCACCCTAGCTGGTTTGGCTCAGTGGATAGAGCGTAGGCCTGTGGACTGAAAAATCCCAGGTTCGATTCCAGTCAAGGGCACATGCCCAGGTTGTGGGCTTAATCCCCACAAGTGTAATCCTGGTAGGAGCCATGCAGGAGGCAGACAATCAATGATTCTCTCTCATCAATGATATTTCTAACTCTCTCTTCATTGAAATCAATAAAAACAATTTTTTAAAAAAAGTAAAAGAAGAGAAGGAATGCAAAAGATAAATATATGTAATAAAAAAGAAGTTATTAATTGGCTATATTATTAGTCCAATTCATCATTAAATAATCCACAACTATCAAACAAAGAGCAAAGGACTGTCATTATTCTGTACAGAATTAAGAACTGGTAAAACTACTTAGTATAGTTGCCAAACTTTTTTCAGTTTCTTTTTCTTTCTCTACAGACATGTTACATTTCGTAATAGTCTCCACTTACCTTACATCCTCCATGTTTAAGTACAAATTGTGTTTGATTTCCCCAACCCTTGCCCTAAGATATAATGACATATATTAAGCTTCTGAGTCTGGACACCAAGGAAAAAAAAAACCTGAAAATTTTCACTTTCCTGAAATATGTGTCCATTTTATTTACACCATTTAAAAATATATAACATAAGCTAATTAAAACTGCAACCACCCATTTAATAACTCTTAAAGAATATGAGTAGGTAAGACACATTTAACTAAACACCTTCAGTGTAGTCTATTTCTCAGTGCTTCGAAAACCTATAAAGACTGAAGTCTCTACAGAAATTACTACACTATTGCAAAGTTTTTAAACACAGGAATCAAGTGGGCTTGCTTGTGCACACTCCCACAAACCTTCACTTATGACACAACCCTCAGAGATACTAAAACGCCCACTAAGCAGAAAACAAACTTTTAAAGTTAGGAAAGTAGCTAAATGGGAATTTGGGTAGGAGGTGCTCTGGGTAGTAAACACCCTCGTCAGGGAATATAAACAAGCAACTCGAGCAACATATTACTCCTTCGGGGACTCCAACTGGGACTGCTTCCGTCCCAGGCCCCCACCCCCGAGTTAGGAAGAGAGTCAATGTGGGAAAAGTCAGAGAGGGAAAAAGGAAATCAGAGTAGAAGTGATGAAAGTGTGTGTGTGTGTGTGTGTGTGTGTATGTGTGTGTGTGTGTTTTCTCCTTCTCAATCCCTATCCAGCATTCTTGCAGGCTGATCACCAGACTGGATGTCAAATCCACCAAAAACAGTCCCCAAGTTTTTTCTGATATCTACATTCAAAACCTGCATATGTCAGCCGCCTCCTTTTCAAACACCTCCCTTTCACCTCGGGAGTCCCCCATACTCTTCTCAAAGGGAAGTCTTTTGGCCACCAAGCCCACCACTATGGTGTCTTCCTAAACTCATTCACTTCATGTTTTCCAACTCCGTACTTTCCCTGATACCATGTCCCTGATAGTCTTCTTTACAACTCAACCGAAATGCCATGATTCTCATTTCCAATGACTAAACCCTAGCTATCTATCCAGGCTCACTTACTGCCATGTTTTCACCTACTCATCCCCACCTTCTTCTGCCTGTTACCTCCAGCTTCTTCCAATGCCAAGTCCCCAACCCCACTCTTCCAAAAGCCAGTCTAGCACCCCTCCCCTGTCTCCCATGCCACCCCAATTCCAGGATCCTCCCCTTGGGCTACACCACTACACTTCCATTCCCTCAGGAGTCAACTCCCCACTTCTTGCCACGCCCTGTGCCCCCCGGGGCTACTTACCCCCAAGTTCTCCCCACACTTCAGGCCTCTGGCCCCGCCTTCCCCCCCTAAAGGAAGGAGGCGGGAGGAGGGAGAGAGGGGCGGCACTCCGCGAGGTAAAGACGATCTCCCATTAGTGTTTATCGCCGCCAATCTTAGCTTCCTTTTCTCCCATTGGTCAGCGTTCGCCCATGCCCCACCCTCTTCCTCAGACAGGGCCCGGCCACCGCCTCAGCGCCCCCGTCCAACACAGCCTAGGAGGGGAGACCCCGGCCTGGGAGGCTGGGACGGGTCGGAGTGGAAGGAGAGACTCTCGTCACTTCACGGGCTAGTTAATGTTAACAGGACTCACCCGCTGGCAGCTCCGTCGCCTCCCGCCCGCCCGCGCTCGGTCCCACAATCTGTCTCCAGCTCCTTCTTCCCCCCCTCAGCGGAGCTGATACTTTCCTCTCGTCCGGCCAGGCGCGCGCATCTCTCGCGAGATATGGGGGGTGGGGGGGGTGGGGGTTGGAGGAAGGGCGAGATCCGAAGGGCCTGAGTTGGAAAGGGGCCGAGGGCGGGGCTCCGGGAAGATGTAGGGGCCAGACTTTCAGTGGGCAGGTCTGGGGAGCGAGGCTGAGCGAACTCGGGACACACAGATCACACGTGTCCGGTTACGAAACGTAGGGGGAAAGGAAAAGAAGGAGGAATCCTTACAGGTGCCTGTAGTAGTGGAGATCCAAAAAGTGAAGTAAATATTTAGGGAATGAGATTATCCCAAGGGACGCATTAAACACACACACACACCCACACACACACACACACACATACACACACACACAACAGACAAGATTATACCTGAATAAAGCTGTTGAAAAGAAAAAAGTGGCAGGGACCGGTTTGGCTCAATGGATAGAGCGTCGGCTTGGGGACTGAGGGGCCCCGGGTTCGATTCCCGTCAAGGCCATGTACCTTGGTTGCGGGCATGTCCCCAGTGGGGGTTGTGCAAGAGGCAACTGATCGATGACTCTCTCATCGATGTTTCTAGCTCTCTATCTCTCTCCCTTCCTCTCTGTACAAAATCAATAAAATATATTTAAAAAGAAAGAAAGAAAAAAGTGGAGGGAAAATCGGAGGCAGGGATGGGGGAGCAAGGGATTCGGGGTTCCAAACAGTCGAGTAGTTGCATTTTCTTCTTTGCATGATGAGTAGCATCACTGTGGCCACAATCTGCTGGGGGGGGGGGGGGGGGGAGTGGAGCGGGAGTGGGGGGGGCGGTTCGGAGGGGGGCGGGGTGGAGACAGTGGGAAGGGTTCAACTGCAGGAACTGGCAACTTTTAAAACATGTGCATGTTGTTCCCACTATCCTCCAGGGTCATCACTTCCTTAAGGGCAAGGAAGTTTAAAATACCCTTAGCCCTAGAACTTGAGTGAATATATTGAAAAAAGCAACCCCCAGCATAACGAGCCTATCTCATTGAGTGCTCTGCCTTTTTCTTTACAACTGAGTTAGCATTCCCATTTTGCTCAAAGAGTTGAAATGATCAAATGAGATAATATATTTGAAACTGCTTGAGAATTAAAAAGCACTATATTTATTACTCAGCAACTATTATAACAAGTACATATCAGGACATGTGTTCTAGGCATGGGGAGAGGAGCCTGACAGACCAGGTTCCTGCTATGGTATATTTTATATTTTAGTGGCAAGGAGGAGACAATTAATAAGCCAATAAACACAAATGTGTAAGTCCTTCCTGGTGTGGCTCAGTTGGTTGGAGCACCCTTTTGTGCACTGAAGGATCACATATACACAGGTTTGAGCCCCTATTGGGATGCATAGAAGCAACCAATTAATGCCCCCCCCCGCAAATAAAAACATATATTAAAAGAACACAAATATTTCAGTTAGTGGAGAGTGTTTCAGAGTAATGAGACAGAAAGAGACCAGGAGTGGGGAAGCAACTTTGCTCCTGGTGTTGAGAGAAGGCCTCTTTGAAGTAATGTTTGAATCAGGAGTTGGAATTGAACATGAGGAAACAACCTTGGGGAGATTTTGGGTGAAACATCAAATGCAAAGACCGTATTAAAATTACTCTCGTATGGTTGGTTACCTAGATCAGCGTTTTTCAACTGCTGTTCCGCGGCACACTAGTGTGCCGCAAGATGTTGCCTGGTGTGCCGTAGGTGCAGACAAGATAAGAATTTTATAATTTTTCACTATTTTGTTTACTTAATATTTCATAATAAAGTAATTATAAAATACTTTCTTTGTGTTTATTTGATTTCTATTCAAGAGAATTACTTTATATATAGTCAATATAGGCACAGAGTTAAATTTTTTAACATTTTCTAATGGTGGTGTGCCTCGGGATTTTTTTCATGAAACAAGTGTGCCTTTGCCCAAAAAAGGTTGAAAAACACTGACCTAGATGATAATTTTTATGTTGTTGTGTATTTTTTTGCCACCAATTAAAATAAAACTTTTAAAATATAATTATAAGGAGAGTTAATTCAAAATATTGCCTATGGAATCTCTTTTCCTTTCTGCAGCTTTGTATTGCTCAGCTTTCTGAAATCCCTGCCTAGGATCTCATCTATCCTCATAGCAGCCTCTGAAAGGTAGAAAGAATCCAGGTAATTTCTCTCTAGGTAGCAAAGGTGATACAGAAGCACAGAATCATTTATATTCTTATAAAGTGAACTAAGAAAAGTTGAGAGGAGTCTTAGCTTCCAATCTACTCTCCCATAAAACAATTACTACTAAAAATAATGCAACTATAGAAAATATAATTTTCAATCTACATGGGAGATTTGTATATAACAGAGGTGGCATTACAAATCAGAGAGAAGGGATTCTATAGTTGTGTTAGAATAATGGATATTCTCTACACATACAAAACAAATATAATACTTAACTTTCATAGATCCTATTTTGCTCCAGACAGCATTCTATTTTATGGGTATTAATTAATTTTTTTCCAAATTTATATCTCCAACACATATCTGTCCCCTAAACTTCAGACTAATATCTCCAACTGCCTACTTAATAAATCCACTTGGATGTCTAATCAGTATTTCCAACTTACTATTTCCAAACAAATTCTTCCTCTCTCTTCCATATGTGACAGTTCCCTAGTCTTCCCTCTCTTAGTAAAAGGTACCTCCATTGTTCCAGCTATATTTTTTAAATTGAGATATAACTTACATAAAATAAAATGTAGCTTTTAAAAGTGGATCATTCATTGATTTTTAGTACATTCACATAGTTATGATACTAAAATCAATATCTAAATTCAGAATATCTCTCCCAAAAGAAACTCCATACTCACAAGTAATCACTCTCCATTTAGTCCCCACCAACTCCTAACAACCACAAGTCTACTTTCTATCTGTGGATTTGTCTGTTATAGACATCATAATAAAGAGGTGATATTCAAATTGACCATCACTCCAATACCCAAAATGGCTGTCCCCATGTGGTCAAAGATGGTCACCCCCATGTGGTCACAAGATGGTCACCACTAGATGGCCAGGAGGGGAGGGAAGTTGTGAGCAATCAGGTCAGCAGGGAAGGGCAGTTGAGGGGGACCCAGGCCTGCAGGGGAGGGCAGTTGGGGTGAGCAGGCCTATAGGAGATGGCAGTTGGGGGGGACCAGGCATGAGGGGAGGGCAGTGAGGGGTGACCAGGCCAGCAGGGAGGGCAGTTATGGGCAATTGGGCCAGCAGGGGAGGGCAGTTGGGGGTGACCAGGCTGGCAGGGGAGGGCAGTTAGGGGCATTTGGGCCAGCAAGGGAGCAGTTAAGTGTTGATCAGGCTGGCAGGGGAGTGGTTAGGGAGTGATCAAGCTGGCAGGCAGAAGCAATTAGGGGCAATCAGGAAGGTAGACAGGCAAGCAGTTGGAAGCCAACATTACTGGATTGTGAGAGGGATGTCCGACTGCCCAGATTGGAGAGGGTGAAGGCTGAGCTGAGGGACATACCCCACTGTGTGCACAAATTTTGTGCACTGGCCTCTAGTCTATATAATAAAATCATAAGCAACCTTTACCATGGAATGACCAGAATGACCAGTCACTATGATGTGCACTGACCACCAGGGGCAGCCACTCAACGCAGGACTGCCCTCTGGTGGTCAGTGCACTCCCAAGGGGCAATGGCCGCTCAGCCAGAAGCTGGCTCACGGCTGGTGCGCAGTGGTGGCAGTGCTAAGGAGCAGCGAACCGAGCTGTAAGGAGCAAGGCGTCCTGGACTGCAAGATGGTGCAGGCCTGGCTGAGGTACCCCCTCCTCCAAGTGCTTAAATTTTGGGCCTCAGTTGATGGACATTTGGATTGTTCCCACTTTGGGGCTATTATGAATAATGTTGCTTTGAACATCCATGTACAAGTTTTTATATAGACTTGTTTTCAATTCTCATGGTATATACTGAGGAATGAAATTGCTGAGTCATATGGTAAGTTTATGTTTAACTTTTTTAGAAACTGCCAAACTGCTTCTCACAGCAACTGCATCAACTATTATAGCAATGTTAGAAGGTTCCAGTTTCTCCACATCCTCACACCAACACCGTTATTGTTCATCTTTCTGATTTTAGCCATTCAAGGGATTGCGAAATGACATCTTAGTGTGTTTTTTCTTTTTAATTTCCCCCAATTTTATTGAGTTGCTTGTTTTGTTGAATTTTTAGTTCTTTATTTGAGCTGGTAACTTTTATTTTTATTTTCTTTCTTCCTTCCTTCCTTCCTTCCTTCCTTCCTTCCTTCCTTCCTTCCTTCCTTCCTTCCTTCCTTCCTTCTTTTCTTCCTTTCTTCCTTTCTTCCTTTCTTTCTTCGTGTATTTATTTATTTTTGTCACTCCTCACCCGAGGATATGACTAATAATGTTGTAAATCACTTCATGTGCTTATTGGCCATTTATACACCTTTTGATTACTTTGCTCATTTTGTAACTGGGTTACTTATATGTCTTTTATTGAGTTGTAAGAGTACTTTATATATTCTAGAAGATACTGGACTCTTAACAGATATATGATTTGTATCTGTCTTCTCCTATTGTTTGTTGTCTTTTTACTTTCTGGTAAAGTATTTCCAAACACAAACATCTTTAATTTTGGTAAGAGCCAATTTATCTTTTCTCCTTTGTATTATATTAGTTTCAAGTGTACAGCATAGTGGTCAGACATTTATGCACCTTACAAAGTGATCCCCCATAAGTTTGCCACCTGACACCATACATAATTATTAAAATATTTTGA